AAAAAAAAAAAAAAAAAAAACTCCTTTTAAAATTGCTTTGTAATAAAATTTTTTTTTTTTTATCAGGAGGATTTCATGAAAAAGAAAAAAAAAAGGGTTGCATTTCCTCTTTAAACTCGAATATAAAAAGTGAATTGTAAGTTAACTGATGTAACGATTCTTAACCGCTTTACACTGCAAGCAGAATTGGCCAGTAACAAATTTAATTGCTCTTAAGAAAACATAAAAAAAAGCAATTGGTGTAAAAATGTGTTAAAGAAAGAAAATATAGTCAACGCTTTTGGCCAAAATCGTTCAATGAGCTTTATGTCTCTTTGTTAGAGATTTTACAACTGTATCAGTTTTTGTGACAACACTGTTGCTTAGTTTTTTTACTGTGTGCTTTTCGACTTAACATAAAATACTACAACAGTGAACCAATGTAATATTTTTACTTCAAAAACTTATTACATGTTATCTATAATAAGCACAATGTTGAAGAAATATACAATCGTTTGTCTTGTACCAATTTGTTTATTATAAAATTTAAACAATATTTCTTGATATTTAATTTATTGTAAATGAAAAAAAATAATTATAGACAGCAATTATTATGACAAATATTGTAAACATATAAAATTCGTGAGCATCTGAAACAGTCTTAAGCATTCACTGTCTATCACACCAAAACAAAACAACCATGGGACTATCTGTTTCTAATAGCTGAAAGAAAAATAACCATACCCAATGACAGAAGGTAATTCTTCTTTATGTTGGTTCTTTCTTTAGAGATAATTTAATTCCAACAGCACTTGGAAATTGTGTTGATATATGAGCAATACTAGTAATAAGACTGAAAATTGTAAAAAAAATTATTATTTTTAATCAACAAACATTTTTATTCATGAAGTCTAAAAACTAACTATTTACAATTTTGTGATTATTTCAAACATTAATAATTAGTACACATCTATCATTGGTTATTTTTCATCCAGAATAACAACAGTGATACTCCATACGCAAACATGTCATCCACAATAAGCACAATGTTGAAAATTGCTACATGCCATAAGAGAAAGGTCAATCAGTCATTTATATGAGTATATATTCAGCAATATAGTTTGATTTCTGTTTAATTGAAAAATAAAATAAAAAGATAACTCCAGACAGCAACAATATATGCTCTTGGTGGGTAGATTATATAAATAAATAATTTTTAACCATCAGTTAAAAGTTATCCATAGAATGATTAGATACAGTAATAAAATATCTTAAGCTTGGTGGCTGGAATACCAAAAGAAACCAAATTTAACAATCAAATAATGCTGTCCACAAACTGTTGAAGGATTGGCACAAGAATTAATTAAAGTAATTGGAAAATATGTGATGAATTCAAACTTTAGAATTTTAGATTAGCATCAAGGGGCACAAAAAATGCTTAACAGCTATGCACCCAATCAAGTAGCACTGGATCAATGTTATCCTTACACTGTCCTCGGATTAGGCTTAACATTTAAAATACAAGTGAATTGTGAAGTTCTTAAATTTATATTCTAAGAAAAAGAAAATAATACGAATTTTGGAATACTTTTATAAACAAATAAGTTAGTAACCTGAAGAAACTTTGTTTTATATCATAGAAATATTAATACTGATTTATAATGATGTGGTTATAATGCTCTATATAGCAATTATGTCTGTGTATATTCATTCTATGAAGTAATGTCTTTCTCTGAATCCATATATATAAATGTAGCTGCATCTAAGGAGCTACAGAATTCACAAGCAGAGTCAAGTATATGTTTAAATCAACTTAATCTGTCTTAACACATAAAACTGTCCCTTTTTCTAAAGATCACAAAAGTTATAGCAAACCAGAAATCATAAACAAATACAAACATCAGTTAATAAACACAAACGTCCTATTATACTTAAGAATATTAAAGATCTAAAATGCAACAGAAAATAGAATGTTTAAGATTCACCAACTTATTATCACTAAACACATTTTAAGAACTGACTAATGTTTAACTCTGTCAGAAACATCAATTAGTTCAGCCAAAGTTTGTTATGAATCTACACAAGTGGAAAATATTTTGAAAGATTTTTCTTTTCACCAAAACTCCACTGGTATAACACAATAAACAAAACAAGTACTAAATTTTCCTTAAGGCTGTAAGAACAAGTTACTTTTATAAAGCAAATCTTGGAAGTTAATCCTTGCTAACAACAGGCAGAAGCAGTTATAACAAGCAGATAAGATCTATATAATTTTAAAGAATAATACCTAAGTTCAGCATGGCCTAATAGAATGGTTATTTCTCCACTGTGCTAATTTCAAAATGCGAGCTACTTACATTTTTATGTATGACTTGAATGATTTAAAAATTAATTCTGTTAATATTCTGTTGTTGTTAATATTCTGCAACACAGGTTATTTTCAAAATGGAAAGTTATTAATAAAATTTATGAAACAGTATTTATGTATGTATGTATGTTTACATTCAGTATAATGGGCAGAAGCATCTAATGTAAGCACTGTATGTAAACAGTTTATTAAGTTGCAAAAATCTTTAAAAATAATTCTTCTTTATTGAAAAAAGAAACAAACTATTTTTTCAATTACCAAACAGTCTAGCAAATATTCTGCATGAGCCACACTATGTATTTAAATTAAACAAGTCTTCAAATATAAAGACATATAATCATTACCAGAGGAATGATCATCAGTATTGAAAATGATGATAACAATTACATGGAATGTATTCACAGTTTAATATATATTTCTTTAACCATACCTTCTATTATCATATCTCTATTCAATTAGCATTGTATCTGGAAAATATTACATAAAAGTAAATCACTCAAAATTACACTTCAAGCTCTGCCCTATGACCAAAAAGTGGCAAAGGTTAAGATAAAACAAAGGACAGTAAGACCTTGCCAGACCTTAAATTTTATAGTAAACATATTACCACAATGTTTGCCACAAGACAAACTGAAGCTCTTTCTAGTTATTAATAACCTTAGTTCCTCTTATGCATGACCTATTTCACCAGCTTGCTAATGCAGAAGCATTAACAACTTCAAATTTCCATTTTTGATTCTGGCTGGTTGGGTCACAAGGGCTCATGAAAAGCTCCTGACGTTCACTATCACAATCCAGACAATTTCCAGTTATAGGATGAAGCAGGTGTTGGTTGTTCTGAAAATTATTTACAAGAATAATATCTTAATTTATATTTAAATTTGAGATTTAGAGCATCAGAAAATATTTAAGTTCCAGAAGTTTGCAGCAAGAAAATAAGCATTTATGTGAAAGAAAATTACATTTGTCTTCAATATAAATATAATCGTAAATGTTAAAATATACAAAACAAATAGTTCATTATGGATAGATCTCAACTGTGAAAGTGAAGGGAATAAATTTTTTATAATGTATCTCTGTTAGGTAAAGGCCTATTTTTAAAAGTTATTGGTTTACAGGGTTTCTTATTTTTTTTATTTAATTGATTTTTTTTAACATTATGGTAGAAAAAATATAAATGTTTTTACCATATAAAATATAACTTCAAAAGTATAATAACAGCAATCTTTGCAATGTTCATTTCCACTTTACAGTTATAAATATAAAAAACTAAAAAATGTGTATTTTTATACAAAGAAAGAAGAAAACATTCGGAAAAAAGAAATAGATAAAAAAATAATAAGGATAAGAACAACTACAAAAAAAAGAAAAGAAACTAGAACCAGAGAAAGTGACTTAAGAAACTCACCAAATCATACTTCCATAGCTGGTTTCCCTGCATGCCATGGCAACTCCACAGAACAACAGGTGCATGGGTTTCTGAGCTAGATACATCAAAACAGACACTTCTTTTGGCTGGACGGATGTCTTTATGCCAAGTTAAAACAAACTGCTACAAAATGAAAAGAAAAAAAAACCAAGGTAGTAACAAAATGGTAAATATTGAAGCATAGAAGTGACACTTTCTAATGTGGCTGATGTGTGAAAAATTTACATAGAAGCATTTGTTAAGTGAGCATACACATTGGAGAGAAATAGAAAATTATTGTTTCATAATAAGAAGTAGTGAGCTTATTACCATACAAACAAGTAAGCATATAAATAAATTACCATACATTTTTCAATACATGATTTACGCAGTGTATGCACAATAAACAAAGGTAAAATGGGCCTTAACTGTCATGTTGAGGTAACATATTTAAGGACTTTGGCTCTCTTAGTTGAATATAGTCCTTCTGCAGTCAATTTCTGACAAGTGATGCTGCCTGAACAAGATCACTATCACCCATTTTCATCTTCAACCTAAATCCTCCATGTACACAGTTATATATTTAAGGAGCCAGATTTTTTGTATGTTTAAGCACCATATGTTTTCAAGTGAAGAGGAAACTTAGTGCACATAATTAAATTAAATAAAAAAAACGTTATTTTATTTTTAGATGATTCCTACTATATATATATATATATAGACATCTTTAAAAGTAAAGATTATTATTTGATTGAAAATCACCCAGTTTCACATACCGAGTATATCACATACATCTTAACTGCTGCAGCAGTATCCGTGTGCACATAATTATTATCACAAAAACAGACAAGCTTTAATGTCTAAGCAATTTACTAAATACATTTTAACTTGCTAAAAAAAAAATATTTGCCAAATAAAAACATACTCAAATATCAGATGTATTACAAAACATAGTTTAGAACATAGGAAGACAAAACAGCACATCCTATAAGCATAAATGTGTTAAATAAAAAATTGTAACATAAATAAATCACCAGAGAATGTCAAAAATAGAAACAGGCAAAAGTATTAAGTCTATTAAATAAAACATCTGTAAAATCTGCTTCAAGAAAAATATCATTATCATGATTCCTAATCATTTCTAAAGCACATTTAACCTTTAAACATTTCAGGTTTTACTGTAATTTCTCAGAAAGAGAAACTTATATCATGAAAACTAGCATACCACAGACACATGCAAAAGTGCAGATTCTTTTCATTTACCAATACTGTCAAAAGCAAAAATACAATTATGACAGACAATACAACATTTAAATAAATTGCTTTATATTTCATTACTATACAAGAATAAACTTGTTATTCTGCTTTATGATTAATAATTTAAAACTTCTCTTGTTACTTCTCTTGTTTTATGATATATGGCAATATATAATAGAATACTGCATTTTCCCCACCATGAACATTATTATTGCTACAATATATTTTGATCTTCAATACAAGTACATTAATTAAGAAACACATACCTGTTCTCCACCTTGGTTATCATTATCTTTTATACATTTTTCCAGATTAAATCTTTCATTTTGACCTCGAAATCGGGTATCAATGCACAAATTCCTACCAACATTGCGAATCTGGTGCAATATACAAAAGGTACAAATTAAACAATGCATCTAGATGACAAAGTGTACATCTAGAAAATGATTACATATGTCCTAAGTAAAAAGGATGTTCAGAATATCAAGATCATATGGTACTTGATATAATGAGAAATATTAAAATAAATTATATTAATAAAAAGCTAAGAATTCTATTACATTATACCCAGTCTACATGCTTATAGCACTGTTAACAACTTCATTCATAACGATGACACATGTCAACAATAAATGAGAACAATTAATGGACTTCTTTGTTACTTTGAACAATCTAGGTTTTTGTTATTTATTAAAGAGTCAAATTTTATTATATAGTAAAATGGCTGCCACTTTGTGCATCTCACTTCAACTAAAAGGCTATGTTAAATTTTTCAATCTAATGAAAGCTTAAAAATGGAAAACCCACAAGTCACTAAAGTTTCTAATTACTCATGAAACAAAAGAATTTTTTTTATTAATTAAACTAATATAACAGGATTTATCCACAATGCATTCTTCACCCTTGGATGAATAATACTATTTCACTGTATGTGTAGTAAAGAAATTCAAGTTAATTAGCACTTTTAATTAGAACAAAAATATATATACTACTTTAAGTTTTCACGAGAAAACCTTACATTATTGATTAATTCTTATGAATGTGAATTATAATTATATCCTATTTATTACAGATTCTTCTTATGAAAACCGTATTTTTATACAATAAACAAGTTACTTCAGATACCTACCTGCTCTCTTTGTAGTTATAAATATTTTAATGGAAGAATTAGGCAGAAAATAGATTGTTTTACTGTAGCTGTAAATTTTCAGAGTTTTCTACGTTGGTTTGCTTGCCGAGTAGTTCTATTTATCAAATTATATATAAGGCCTAGAAAAGGTTTTAACTATTTGGATGCTACTAGATTAAACTGTTATATTAAGTCAAAAACACCTAACAGGCCATATCATTTGAACTAAATAATGCAAAAATTCTAAAACTTAAATAATTAAATTGCTTCTTATTCTGTTGGTTAATTGATAATAAAAATAAGGGTAGCTATTTTGTACAAGTAGCAGATGTAGACTGCTCCACATATACACAGTTATTAGCTAAGAACATACACCTGCTTTAATTAACTAACAAATAAAATGTAACTACATTGAAAAATTCATAAAATAGATTAGCCTAATTTTTAGACTGACTTATTAAAACTATGAAATTTTGCATAAGGACATAATATAATGTTGAAGTAAATATTCTACCTTTCATAAATTCTTTGAAAAGCAGAAACTGTACAAATGAATTTGACCAAGGTATGTACTTATTTCCCAACTTATTGAAAATCTGCTGTTGTTTTTATGCACACTTATCTTTAACAATACATATATATCTATGTAAAAGGTAACTAATTTGCCAGTTCGGGGCCCAAACAATAGGGAAACCATAAATAGCCAGCCTTCTGACATTCTTCATTGATTAATTAATTCAAGTTCTCCATAAAAATATTAAAGACATCCAGTGAAAGCTCATCCCAAGTATCCATATATACATATATCAGTAAGTTTACAATTAACAAAGAAAACGATGTGTTACAGTACCATACATTTTCTTATTTCTAATTTTTAAAAAGGATCTTGGTATGGTGGTGGATATATCACTCATGCCTCTGTTACTAGTATGAAGCTAATACAATTTTAGGGTGTATTTATAGACATATTGATCCAAAGTCAAAAAAGGTGATTATCTCTTTCTCTCTAAAAGTCACTAGTTAAGACTCACTTGGAATATTGTGTACAGTTTTAGTCTCCTTATCTAAGAAGGATATTGACTTATTGGAAAGTGTTCAGAGGAGAGCTATTAGGATGATCTCAGAGAAGGAAAGGTTATATCACAGTAATAGATTAGGAACTCTTAAATTACTTTCTTTTGAGGAAGGGTAAAAGGTGTTCTTACTGAAGTTTACAAGATTATCTGGAAAATCAATACAATAAAGACTTCTGATCTCTTTGTACTGCTTTAACATGTTCTATTGTTGGGTGAATTCTTTCGGGTTATCTGGTAAAAAATAATGCCAAGTACAGTCCACATCATGGTAATGAATTAGTTTATTTCTTCTATAATGTTTGCTATGGTGAGTTTACTTTGACACAAGATATAGGCCTAAGTTCACAAACAAACTTTTCAATATAAACATTGAAATTACTGCAGGCCTGATACACTAATATTAATTAACAGAAACTCCCTTGGTTGATAACAAACCTGACTAATTTACTAATTAGCTTAACAGAAGCATAAACTCTTTATGAATAACTTTACTCAATTAATATTCTCTCAATCATCCATTACTTGACATTAACCACTTGATCATCAACTACTTGTATTTATACTGAACTATTACTTCTATCAGGTGCAGGAAGTTTCTAAGTTCTAGAATTACTTTTATGAACATCCTTGATCTTAATGGCATATATCCTCTAGCTAACAACTAAATGAAAACATTATAACACAGCCCCCTTCCTAGATTGTGAAGTCCCTTGGCCAATTCTAATACATAACTAAAATAATATAGTAAACTATCCTTTCACCAAGTCTTTTTTGGTGATTTCCTTTTCTGAAGGTTATGGCACACAGATGGGATGGCCTCTTATCCCTTGTTATCACAGTACAGTTCACATGATTCATAATAGTTTTCTACAGACCCCTGGCACACAACCCCCAAAAACGTATTCCCTCCAGTGTCTTTGTAATACTTAAATGTTCAGGTGTTGGAAGGTTGTGGAGATGATGGTTGGTTTTTGGGGTTTATTGATGCAAAGCAATGTGGCTATCTGCACCAAACAACTGGTATAGAAATAAAAACAAAAAATAAAACACTATAAAAAATAAAGAGAAATGAAGTTAAAAGCTAAACAATGTTCAAAAATCAAGTAAAAACTAAATAGAAGTAAAAAGGCCAATGGCCCGCAAAAAGCTAAAAACACAATCAAGATAGACAATGTCACTATCGCCAATGACACCATCCAATGGTCAGGGGTAAACCCTTAGAAAATACATGTCTCAAGTGGTGCCACCACTTACATTCGTAATGACAGCATGAAAGTAAAATGTGGGCAATTGTGACCTGAGTGTCACAAAGGCCACGCATTGGCAGATCAGTCCCACATAAAAGAAAATGATGGGTGAAAAAACTGTGATCAATGTGTAGCTTAGCCAAGACAACTTCCTCCCTTCGATCCTTACAGAAACTAGATGGTCAAACAACAACAGTAGGTTTAATCTGGAAAAGTTTGTTATGAAGTTGCTCACTCCAAATTGACTGTCAACTGGCATGAAGCTGGGCCTTAGTCACAGGACCAAGATCCATATAAGAGACAGGCTACAGCTGTGACAGCACCAGAGCAGATAGATTTAGCTGTGGTGTCAGCATGCTTGCTCCCTAGAATACCAACATGGCTGGGTATCCAGAAAAACTGGATAGAAATGGATGACAGAGAAAACTGAGCCAGTCCTTTCACAATGTCTAAGAAAACAGGGTTAGAACTAACATTAAACAATTCGAAGGCCAGAAGAGAGCTAAGAGAGTCAGTGTAAATAGTACAATTAGTGTACTGCTTAGCTTCTATATGATCCATGGCAAGAGAAATGGCATACAACTCGACAGTGAACACAGAAACTGTGGAGGGGATCCTGTGAGCAACCACCGAGCAACTAAAAACCATGGCAGAGCTCACAGAGTCACCTGATTTTGAATAATCCATAAAAATGGGAACAGAAGAATGGTTCAAAAGATGTTTAGCAAACTGAAGACAATACTTCCAATCAGGAATATCTGCCTTCCTCAGATGATTCAAAGAAACGTCACAGGTGGGGATGGTAATGAGCAATAGCGGGATGGGCTGATCATCAACATCATCCAATGATAGACCCAATTCAACCAGCTGTGTTTGGATATGCAGGCCAAAAGGAGGAATGACAGACATTTCATTCTGAAAGAGCCCAGCCCACTGGGGAAGGAAGATACAACCACAGGTGGGATGACATGGTAAGGATCAAAGCTTGGTAGCATATTGTAAAGAAAGTTGCAAATGTTGGAGGTGAAGAGGAGGTTCACAGGACTTAGTGTATAAACTCTGGACTGGCAAAGTGCAGAAAGACCCTGTGCAAAGCCAAAGTTCCAGATGATGTACAGTATCCAACATCTTCAAGGTAGAGGCCCTGATGGATCCATAAACCATAGATTCATAGTCCAGCTAATAATGTACGAGTGCACAATAGATCTTCAACATAGAACATTGATCCACTCCCCAAGAGGTGGAAGTGAGGACACAAAGGATGCCCACATACACTCAAGAGCTTTATCTCAGGAACCACAGGAAGAACAACATCACTGAGATTGAGCTCAGATCACGGTGTAAACCCTGTTGGTGGCAAAAATGAATGCAAAGGGTTTTAGAAGAAGAGAAGGTGAAACCATTTGCTGGGATCCACTTGAACAAGCAAGTGAGAGCAGTCTGAAGCTGCTGCTCAATAAACCTCATGTTCAATGACTGACAAGAAATGTGAAAGTCATTGAAATAGAGGTCGTTTGCAACAGTAGGAAGAAGTTGTTGAGTGATAGCATTAATCTTAATACCAAAAAGTGTAACATTCAAGACACAGCCCTGAGCAATTCCAAGTTCCTATGTGAAGGACTTGGAAACTGTTTCAGTAAAGAGTTACGAATAAAAATGGGCAAATGGCCATGCAACTCATGTGAATGGAGGTCCTGCAACATACCCAACCTCCTTGTAGTATCATAAGCCTTCTGAAGATCGAAGAAGACAAAAACAAGATGCTCGCTCTTGAGGAAGACTTCCCAGATCGAAGTTTCAAAATGAGTCAGGTGGTCCATGGTGGAGTAATGTCTACAAAAACTACATCGAGTAGGCGAGAAGAGGTTGTTTGATTCAAGGAACCAAACAAGATGAGTATTAATCATCCTCTCGAAAACCTTACA